TTGTTACTATCTACGGAATATTATCTACGAAATTTTTTCCATAGATAATGTTTAGTTATCTACAGAATATTACCTACAGAATTTTTTTCGTAGATAATGTTTAGTTATCTACGAAATATTACCTACAGAGTTTTTTCCGTAGATAATGTTTAGTTATCTATGGAATATTACTTACGGAATTTTTTCCGTAGATAATGTTTAGTTATCTACGAAATATTACCTACGAAATTTTTTTCATAAATAATATTTAGTTATATACCAGTGCGCACTATATAGTGTAGCTTAAAGCAGAAGAAACGGCAGCGTTTAGCATTTTCTTTTTCTCACATTTTTTAATATATTTTTTTTCTCTTTCTTTTAATATAGTGTAGAAACGAAATGCGTACATTATTTTTCTTTTAATATTTTAAAGTTTAATATTAGTAATAATTTATTTTCTTTTTAAAAAAATTATAATAAAGTATCTAAATAGAATATGAATTTATTTTTCAACAAACTTATAAATTTAACTTTATTATATAAATTAACAAGTTTAATATTTAAAAAGATAAATAAAAGTATATATAATTTCAATATATTATAGTAAATATAATATAATAATAATAATAATTATTATTATTATTCATTTTTATTTAAATAGATCAATCTTTTAAGTGTAATATAATTTTTTTTAAATAACTTGTAGTCTATGCTTTTAAAATAAATAGATTATAGTAAAAACTTTAGTTTGACCTATTTTTAAATATATGTGATTACTTTGTACGTTTATTGATTTCTGTATGTGAGTTGAGTAAATTACATTATTTTAAAAAAAATATTTTATTTTTTGTTATAGACTATTTATATTGTTTAAAATATATTTCTATTTAAATAACGAATTTAATTCTTTTAGTAATAAAAAATTCATACGTAAATTCGGTAGATAACTTATCTACGGATATTTTCGTAGATAACATCACCCGTAGATAAATTTTGTAGGTAAGTCTTTTAAATCTTATCTATAGATAAAATTCGTAGTATATAAGGTTACCTATGAAAAAAAATTTCATACATAATGTTACCTATAAAAAAAATTTCATAGTTAACGTTATCTACGACCTTATTACCTACAGATTTTTTTCCGTAGATAATCCATAAATAATTAACACTTACCTACGAATTTTCATGCTTATTTACGAATTTCTTCCATAAATAATGTTAATTTTTCTTGTAGTGTCGGGCTAACTCATTGAATCAAACTATTTTTTTACATATCTAATTTTTACCATTATATTTAAAAAATACTTCAATTTTTATAATTCAATTTTTTAGGTTTTCAAATAGTTCAGATCAATTTCTTAGAAGAAAAAAAAAGTTTAGTTTTATAGTTTATTTTAATTTAGTTTTTTTTTTCACTCTTAATTTCGAAAATAATTCAACATTAAAGAAGTTTTCACGATTATCAGTTAATTTGGTCCTGCGGATGACCAGTTCATTGGGTCCAATAGTTAACATGGGATTACCAATTATTTCTTAAGTCACTTTGTCAACCAACTATTGGCTCATGCTACGATTCTTTCAAAACTCGCCATCAACACACACATTTTTTTTTTGGCAATTTTTTTTATTTATTAATTGTTGAGTGAGTTTCTTAATTATTTAGTGAGACTCACAATTCAAATAATAATAATAATAATAATAATAAACTAGTAAAAAATAAGAGATTTCGTGTCTTTGTGATATTTTTTTAATACAAACATGTTAGTAGAGTTAATGTATAACAGTTTTAAAAATATTTTTTAATAAATTTGTATTTATTTTTTATTAATTATTATCATATGTTTTATAAATTTTTATAAAGGGTTAAAATTATTAAAATAATGTTTAGATCAAAATTTTCTTCCAATTAAACTTTGCCCGTTCAGTGTCCAAAAAAAATAAACTTTTTGTTCTTGTCAAGAGAGGTACACCTACTGCTCCGCCCGTGAGTTGTAACAGCTGAATAATTAGTTAATTACAACTTGATCTTTTTCCAAAAAATAAAAAACTCGAATTGATAGTGATGTATAAATATAATGTATAAGTAGTTAGATGAACATATAATATAAGAAAGCCCCCCCAAAAAAATGAACTTATAATATGAAATAATATAATTATATCAAGGCGTTTCTGTTATGATATCAACCAAATCAAAATTTGCTCCTTGAAAATGAAATTTCATAATAGGTATCGCTTTATTCTTAAATGGGTGATGATGAGAGATTAGTTGGATATTAAATTGAAGATTCCATACTATTAAAAAAATATAAAAAAAATAAAAGATATTCATGCATGAACTCTATCGTAACCTTCCAAAATCGATGAACTAGGATTTTGTAAAAGAAAAAAATAAACACTTTTATCTCTCTTTGTAAAAAAAAAAAAAAGAGTAATTATTTAAAAGTATGCTTCTTTCGTTTAAAAAATATAAAATATGATAATTATTTAAAAGATGTGAATGATTTCTAATATATGAAAAATAATTTAAAGATAAAATTAAAACTAAAATATATACATAAAAAAAATTATTATCTTTATTATTAGTAGTAGGATGAAAGACATTTCATATTTTTAAGAGAAGAAGAATTTTTTTAACAATGCAATTTGTTTTCAGTCATGCACAATTTTTTTAATGATATTTAATTGAAAGATAAAATTAGAAAATAATTGTGAATATCAAAAAGTGATGTCCCTTTTAATTTATTATTAATTAATGGAGTCGAGATATTTTATGTCTTTATATTTATATAAATGTGTTTAAGAATTATTAATATCTATTAATTAATTGATTCAAATTTTAAAGTCTTAAATCTGTAAAAATAATTCATTTTTAATATTATTTTTAATTATTTAAAAATTTTAAAATAAAATAATTTGAAATTTATATAAAAATTTTAAAAAAAATCACTTATATATATAAATATAAATACATAGGAAACTTACAATTCTTAAGAGTCTTAGGACTCGCAAAAATTTAATATCACAATGCAATGCTTGCATCGGCATACAATAATGGTCAACTTCATTTTTTAATAATGGTTGTTGGAAAAATTGAAAACAAATATATTTAACAATCATGGAAAGATTACAAAATGAGTCGTGGAAGCCAAATTCACAAACAATAATGAAGCCCGCCTAATTAAATTTGTTTGTATAGTTCATATCATGAACATTTCATAATAAATGGAGATTTGATAGCAGCAGGAACGGATTTAGGGAGTTCCTATACTAATTTCTTTCATTAAAAAAACCACGTTTATGGTCTTCTATATGTAAAAATCAAAATAACTACCATTAGTAATAGAGTTCTTAAAAATTATCTTTAGGAATTTTGTTAATATCCTATATATTATTTTTAAAATAATTTTAGTATTTTAAAAAATTATCAATATTTAAAATAACCTTATTATAATATAAATTATTTATTATAAATTTAAAATATAATTTGTACAATATTTATTTTTATACATTTAAAATATAATATATTTAAAAGTATTTATTTTTATTATTCATAACCATTATAATAACGATACACATTGTTTATTCATATTTTTTAAACTATTTCATTCCTTAACTAATAACGATACAAAATATTTCATCCAAAAACATCTTAAATTCTTCAAATAAAAAATAATTGCTTTATTTAAATTAATTTCTCATCTAAATATATTATAATTGATTTAATAAATATTAATAATTCTAAAATATTTTTATTAAATAAAATGTAAAGACACACACAAGTAAATATAATGTACAATCAAATGATCAATTTCATCATCGTGAGGATCCAACTGGGCACATCTGGGTTCTTGCTGGATGTTTGGGCCGAAATATCCTGGGTCGAGATAGTGTGCAAAGACATGGGCAGCGAAACAGGATTCAATATTGGGCCATTTCTGTAGGAGTCTTTGCCTTTTGTTTTGGGCCCTTTGTGACCTGTGTTCTGTTGTACCGTTGACCAAAAAGTAAGGGCATATCATAAGCTTTCTACTTTATCTTTAGGGCCTTTTGCATTTTAATTTTTAAATTATAAAATTAATTTATATTTAATAAATTTTTTGGAGAAATCATATTTTATTATTTTAAAAATCAAATTAGCTGATTTAATTAAAATTTAAAATATAAATAAATATACTATTCAATTTTCATTTTTCAGAATTTTCGAGTGAAATGTTATAAAATAAATTTGAATATACATGAGAAATATTAACTACTCACTCTCTAACACACTTTTCTTAATACACTTTTTCTATTAAGAGTTTATTTAAAATCACAATATCAAGAAAAGACTCGTTAAATAAAGTGTAGAATCTATCAACTTTTATACTTTTTAATAAATTTCAATCAACTAAAAAAAGAGTATTTAAAAAAAGTGTTACATTGTCTTAAACCCACATTTTTAATCTTGAACATGTGCTTACCCACAAGGTTGGTTGGTAGTGGGAGTGGCAACTGGGGACCATAAAACACCACTTCAACTAAAATTGTTTTGATTCTTGAAACTACGTTTAATGGTTTAATAATAAGCAGGAAAAAAAAATAATTGAATCGAAAACTTCATAATATATTTTATCATAAATTTATTTATTAGATGAAAATGTTTAAAACTAACTCGCTTTATTTTTAAACTCATTTTAAGTATAACAGTTTTATAAAACCAAAATCATTAGAAAATAACTCTGCAAATATCCACTTCTTTTTTTTTTTTTTGAAGAATCTATTCACTTAAACACATTTGTTTATTTTTTAAGAGCTCATTTAGTAGTGAGGGCAGTATAATAAGATAGATATAATATATAATATTTGGTGCACGTAAAAAATCTCCATAACAATATAATAATTTGTTTTGTATTTAATATATGGAGCATATAATTATAGGATAGGATTAAGTTATGTTGTAATGATAAATTACTCTTTCATTAAAATTACATTATAAAAAAAAAAAAAAAAAAAAAAAAAAAAAAAAAAAAAAACACGAAACAGACGAAAGATTATTACTACATGAATAAATAGAATCCAATGACATGATCATATAAAAAAAATTTATTCGTGTTTAAAAAGATCTAGTTACTAATTAATAAACTTAAAAATGTTGAAAGACCTAGGTTTGAGCTAAATGAAAAGATGAACAAGTGTGTGGGGCATGGAAGGAATAGTTTAGTTTTGAAGCTTGAAGATGTCGACGCAGGATTCCTTTGACAGTCCTCTGTTCCAGAAGTTGGTGTAGTATTCAGCGTATGCATAGCTTGTGTAGTGCGCAGGATGATCATCGTCCACGAGTTGTGGTGCTGGTTTCATGACTGCGTCTGGTGAAGGGCAATAGAACGTTGGAATGGACATTCTCTCCTTCTCACTATTCACCAATGCTCGATGCAGCACACTCTTGTACCTGTCGTTGCTTATCACCTTTTCCAAATACACACCAACACCAAAAACTATATAATAAGTTTTTATAATTATTAAAAAATAAAAACTACTTCTTTAAGCAGTGATTAAAAAATAAATATTAAAGCAGTCAAACCAGCATTTAGCCGATTGAAAAACTTTATTTTCTCATTTTAACGATTCGTATTACGAGAAGATAATTTATGTCGAGAACAATTCAAACCAAACATAAAGTTGATTACTTGAAAAAATGAAAAACCTGAATCTGGTCGCCAATATTGACGATGAAGGTGTTAGGGACAGGGTTGACACTTGACAGTTATCCAGTTGGCATGATGGAGAACCTGCAAGCCAGGCACCTGATTTTGCAGCAAAATGGTAATTGCATTTGGATCAGCATGAGGTGGCAACCCATAGGTTAACTCTGGCTCTGGGCATGCCGGGTAGTAGTTTATCGCCATGTGCTTCCCCATTGCTTTCTCTATGTAATCTTTCTCCAACCCCAAACTTTCTGATATTGCCTCCACCAACTTCACCGCTAACCCCCTCATCCTTCTGCTATACTCCGCCACATCTTCCCTCAATGATGAAGGCTTCGCTGGCCATTCCTCAATGTACTCCTCAATGGGGTGGCAGTGGAGTCTCAAGAAGTCCCTCCAGTTCGAAACTCTCTCACTCTTCACATTGAAACTCGTCGAAAGCCTTGTTGTCTTCCATGCCTCATCCGAGTAACTCTTCATCCGACGGTGGATGCTAGGTCGGTTAACAATATCAATGGTTTTGTGCTGGCCATGGCTATGCTATTATGTGTCATGTGTCATGTGTCTGTCTATGCCTATGCTTTCTTCCTACTATTGCTTATATAACAATTATTCATCAATTTATATTTATTTATATACATGTAAATTCTGTTGTGGCCTGTGGGCTTCCACTACTTCACCATTGCGTAAGCACTTCACGTCACCAAAGGAACCACTCATCACGTAATCACTTTTGTATACCAATCCATTATCGACAACATCACTCTCCAAATCGCACCTTCAAATCTCACATCTATTTTACCAACAAAATCATACTAGACTAGTTGTAAGTATTTCGTTAATTTTGTTAAGTTAATTACTACTTTTATTTATTTCCCCGACACAATTTGATGATTTTTATTATTTTTTTCAGTTTTTAATATAAGTAGCCAGATCCAAAATAATATATTAAATTGCTCTTTGTTTTAAGTGTGAATTCGAGGTTAAAAAATTGAATTTACACTTTAATTTTATTGTGTATGTTTTATATATTGTAATGATCCATTTTGATTATCATATTAAATAGAATCATTATAATTAGTAATAAAAATTAAACTATTAAAATATATAAAATTAAATGAGAGAACGGATCATATATATTGTTCTTATCGGAGATCGGTCGTAGGGACGATCTTTTGGGTAAGATTGGTGAGTCTCCTTCGTCGGGTACGATGATTGTTCCAAAATGGGGGTGGTACCTACAAAAGAGACTCCGATGCTAAAGTTAGTGTTTGTGGATGTATGAGTCTCGTATAAGTAATGCACGTATCTTAGTGTGAATTAGGGTTTATCTGGGCCTTGGGCCTGAAGTCGGTTATGACCTGTTCAGATAGTGGACTTTGTCTTGGCCGATATTGTAGAGCGCGTGTCCGATGTCAATCTGGGCTGTGACGCCGAGCTCGAGCTCGGCTTCGCGGTATGGATAGTACACTGACCCCCGAGCTCTGAAGATCGTGGGTCGAAGAGTTAATACCGAGCTCGGTGAAGGGTCGTGACTCTTCGCGTACGCTTCTCTATCGTGATGCCATGTGCCATAACTATCACCTTGTTCCCCGAAACGCGTGGGCGGCATGTTAGTGGGAGGTGACGGTTATGTAATGATGGGCGCACTTCGTCATAATGGGTCCCATTAATGTGTCGTCAGTTTTGTCCCCCCTCTCTCCACGTGTCGCTGCCGTTTTTGATTTTGCAAACTCCCTTTTTCCTCTCTCCTTCGCGCCCTCTCAGATTCACTTTACTCTTTTTCCTTTGGTGTGCTCTTGACGCTTCTTCCCTCTTCTCTGCTCACTCTTCGTCCCCATTTTCCTTGTCCCTGCTCTTCTCTTTCGTCGCCATTTCTGGTAACCGGGTCTTCGTCCTCCGTTATTATTCTGTCATTGTCAAGGGAGTACCAGGTACTTCGCCTTCTCTGTCTTCTTCTCCTTTTCTCCCCTTTCTCGAGTCTTTTCTGCTCTCGATGGCTGTGGTGCCGCACCTTCTGTGTCGGCCAAGGGCAAGGGCAAGGTGCGCGACAAGGCGGTGGCCGACGAGATGGCCGTCGCTGAAAAGAAGAGGGGTGGGAATAACCCTAAAGATTCCCACCCCGCCATTACCGTCCCGGGATACGAGTGGGTCCAAGGGGACGTCGGAGAGTTTCACCGCGTCGTTAAATCATTTCTTGAGGTCAATGCGATATGGAAATCGCATAGGATCTGCCTAGCGTCCATCTCCAAGCTCATCCGGGTTAAGCCTTGTCAACCCGGCGAGCGTGTGTATATGGGGGGTACCTCTAATCCCCCTTTTTCTATGTGTACCAGTGTTTTTTTAGGAATTTAGGCGTCTGTCTGCCCTTCACACAGTTTGAGTGTGATTTTTTGAACTTCATCAACGTGGCTCCCTGCAAGCTGCACCCTAATAGTTGGGGTTTTTTGAGGGTTTTTCAAGTCATGTGCTCCGCCCTAGGGATAGGGTTGTCACTGCCCGTGTTTCTCCATTTTTACCAACTGAAGTTGGGTGACTCTCCCCTAGGGTGGGTGTCGTTGAACGGGAGTAAGGCTGGGAGATTATTCTCGCTTTACTCCAAGTCGTATAAGGGCTTCAAACAGGAGTTCTTTCGAGTTCTGCCCAAAGAGGTCGACCCGTTAAAGGATGAAGTATTCCACTTCGGCGGGTTGCCGAGGTTCCCTCTTTACTGGCAGCAGAATTCGATCAAGTTCAACGGGTCAAGAAGTCTTCAGCTGACAGCCTCGGATACTGCTGCCATTGCTAATTTAGTCGCGCTCCCTCGTCCCTTGGATTGCAAGCTCGTCCTGGCGCTTGCTAATTCGGCGTACAAGGAGAGGGGTTTAGAGAGTGAGTACCTCGGCACCCTTAGTTGTTGAGCTCTCTAACTTTTTCTTCTTTTTCTTATATGTTGGATTTTTGCGCTTCAGGTATCATGGGGAAAAGTAAGTGGCGCGAGCTGAAGGCCTGCTACAATGTGGTCGAGATCGAGGTTCCCGAGGTCGGCGAAGAGGAGGTTGCTCCTCTTGAAACCCGCAGAAAAAGAAAGAGGGGAGAGAAGGAGGTTGGGGGGACCTCCACCTCTCATGATGCTGAAGAGGTGACCTCGAAGGCCGCCGATGCCGATTCGGTCAACCTGACGGGGAGTCCTCCGCCTGAGGGGTCGTCCAAAGTGGTCGTAGAGGAGGTCGCTCGTGAGGCGCAGGTTTGTATCTCTCTTCTTATGGCTTTTCTTCCACATTGTGTGATTTTCTTGTTTAATAACTTGAAGAATTTTCGTGCTTTGTGTAGGCGGGGCCTGTGCTAGTTGCTTCCGAGGCGCGGGTGGAGCCGAATTTAGAGGCACCAGGATTGAATGCCTCAACTGCTGAGCAGGCAGCTCCCTCTTCAAATCCTGCCAAGGCTCGCAGAGAAGGGCCGAGCTTTGGGGCACCGACGTCGACCCCTACAGCCGCTGTATCGCCTCCGCCTCCGCCAGGGGCCCCAAAGGGGAAGTGCATCATACAGCGCTTGGATGTTTCTCGCCCGCTGGCGAGGTTGGGTCATGTGAGCATGTCATCTAATGTGGACTCGATGTGGAGTTCGGGGATGACTGCCGAGGCCTTCTACCCGCGAGGTTCGCTCCGCTCGGCTGACAAGGCAATTATTGAGAAGGTCAGGGCAGTGGAGGGCTTGGACTCTGCGAAGGTCTTCATGCAGAGATCAATCACCATCGTCGACCATTGGAAGCGCAAGTGGTCGAAGCTGCAAGGGGAGCTCGAGAGTGCCAGAAGCCGAGTTCAACCTTTGGAGGAGGAGAACAAGGCCTTAGGGGCCGCTCTAGGCGAGGCCAAGAGGTAGAATGAGGCCGAGCTGCAAGCCACAAGGAGGGATCTTGCGAGAACTCAAAAGTCTTTGGAGATTGCTCTGAAGGCTAATGAGGTTTATGCTGCCCAAGTGGGCGAGCTGCAGGAGGTCGCTAATTCTGCTCGAGGTCGGGCGCGCTCTCTAGAGGACGAGGTCTTGGCGCTGAAGGTCGAGCTGGCGGAGGCAGCTGAGAGGCATCTCTACGACGAGGTGCTGCTGGCCGGTAAGAAAGAGGAGGCCGTAGCTTTGAGGGCGGACCTTGATAAGGTAGCCGCGACTAAGGCAGGGTTAGAGAAAAAGCTTGTCGAGACTGAGCGAGCTGTTTTATTGGAGCACAAGAAAGGCTTTGTTAAGGCAGCTCGTCAGACGAGGTTGCTTGCTCCTGGTATCGACCTTTCTGCTATGCATGTAGAGAAAGAGGTGCGAGCTGGACGGCTTGTGAAGGAAGACAACCTCCCTGATAGCTCGAGCAAGAATACCACCACCTAGACCGCTATTTTGTAATAGCTTGGTTATTTACTTCCTTTTTCTTGCTTTCTGAACTCATGTTTATTGCTTATTGTTTCATATTTCTTTTTTCATATTTCTTTAATGTTTATTGTTCTTTTAATTAAATGGAAATAATGTATAGGTTTTTTTTTAAAATATAATATTGATACAAAATATCTATAATTATTTTTTAATGATTAATTTCTATTAGAAATCGTGAGTACATATAATATAAGTATTTTTATTTTAATATAATTTATCTTATATTTAAGATCAAGATTTAAATTTTAAATAATTTAATTAAAAAATATAAGTTATTATTAGTTGGAAAATTAATGTTGATAGAGAATATATAGATAGCTAACATAACATTATACTTTTAACAAACCTGTAACAAGGAGACGACTAATAATTATAAACTTTTGATAAAGTTATGTTCTCAAGAGACAAAGAATAATGTTAGAAAGATGGCATGTCTGTTTAGCCTCCACAGAAAAATGTCATTTAATTTTGTCGATCTCTTTAACAAATTAAAGATGGGAGGGGAAAAAACTATTTCCCTTGTGCACGTTATCTTTGTCCACATTATGTATATTTTGAAATAATTGAAAGCGTCTTTCTCTCTTGACTATGATTTATATAATATTTAAAAATTGATAATTAAGAATTAATTTACACTTATGAGATATAATTTATATTGACTAAGTATATTTTAACATATGTAATAACCTAAAAACATCATGTCGACTCTCATCTCCTAATTGTGTATATATGATATAACTTTTTTTATTATGAAAAGAAAAAAATTATTTCCAAATCATTATATTATATTTATATGATTAAGATTAAAAGAAAACTACATATTATTTTTTAAGTAATTTTCTCAATATTAATTGATATTTAGTCTGTATCATTTATTCACGGTTATATGATTAGTGAAATGGGGGGTGGGTGGAGGGTGAATGGATCTGGAGGTTCAGTTAGAGCAACCAAAAAAGTGTAAGATATATAGAGATGAAACAGGAATTTGGTTAGTTGATACGAGGATGGAAATCCTACAATCAACTAATCATATTTGTGGTTTTGGAAGTCCAAGGTAGATGGAATGTTTTTGGTGAAAGAGACATATAAGGTGATTGAAACAAAGATAAGGCTTGGCTCCAAAATTTAACGCGACTTCGAACTCCTAACCTTGCTTAAGCGTGGATCAATCCTTACCGCTGAAGCACACGCTTGAAGTTACGTAAAGGAA